GAATCACTACTATATTATCTGTCACATGTGGTACTGAAAATTTGAGATAATGCTTGGTAAACTACTCCTTTGCTAATGTCATTGACATGTCACACAATACCATAGCATGTCTCTGTGGTTTCTAATTATACATGACTTTCATGATTAAAAAAAAAAAGGGGGAATAATTATACCAAGACTTTTTACCCAAAGAAAAAAAAATATATTATAGCATGACTTATCTAATTTGTGGATGTCATCATCATGTCACACAATCGTTATAGCGCAACTATTTCCCTCAAGCATTCTCAACTTCTATTAGGCCGCCGCAATTCTTACCCGTTTTCCCCAACTCTTTTGTTCGTTTAAAATCGCAATGCCTAAATTTCATTTGCATTGACTTGGACTAAATTTTTTTTTTTTATTTATTATAATAATTTCAATATGCATTTTTTTTTTTTTTTGGGTGAACAAAAGTTTAGGAGGAGATTTGCTACTCTCACAACCAGTGTCTTGGCAGACCCACAACCTCGAGCCGTAAAGACTTACGCGTGGCACCCAACTGCCAGCTGTCACTGATATGAATTTATGTAGAAAATTACAGATAAAGCACCCACAAAAATTGTTGACAGCGGAATTTAAACACTGGTGGGTAGTGGAGTTATACATAGTGCATGTACCTTATCACTTGAACCAACCCTTGTTGGCAATTTCAATCTACTTTCAAACTCAAAAGAAATAGTTAAAACGATTGCCCATTTGCATTTGGTTGACTTTCCTCTAGATTGATGGAGAAAATTCATTCCACTCTCACTCAGTCACCAACCCATTGTCTCCTTGTCATTCATTTTTAGAATTCTTTTAAATCCTTTTGGCTTCATTTGAAGAAAAATAATAATAATAAAGATTTTGCAACATGTTACAACCTAATAATTTGTTAAAAGTGAAGGCTTATTATTCAAATAATAAAGGTCATAAAAAAAATTCAAATTATAAAGTGATTTTATCTCTACACCCAAAAGCTGAGTTTGATTCTTACATTCTGCTTCCTTAGAATCAAAACATTACTTATTAAAAGCGCAGAAATTATGAGCACCAACAAAACAAATATTCAACTCTCTCCATTAGAAAAGCAAAAAAAATTATTTTGACCTCCCAAGCATGAAATTGAGGTTAGAGAGGGAGAAAGAGACGCTAGTGGAGGACTAACTTAGGGAGACTTAAGCTTAAAAAGAAGCATTACAAATAACAACATGTTTTCTTTGTCTTACCAACCAATTTTGAAATGGGGTCAATTAGGCCGTTTTGCACCACTCAATCTGCCTACATATAAGAACCCATTGCCAACATTTGAATTCACAATCTCATTCTCAAGTCTCATCCTCTCAACCCTCTAAAATTTCCATCTCTCTTCCTTCTCCTTGAGTTGCATTTGAAAGTGAATAATGGGTTCCCATTATTTTGCACAAGCCCTAGCTATGGTGCTAGTTGCTTCAATGCTGGGAGTTGGCTCAGCCAACAAGGATTGGCAACGTGGCAACTACACTGGTTGGGGATTCAACCGTGGCCCATATCACCTCAACGAGACCAAAGGACCTAACAAAATCACAGTTGGTGGGTCAGAAAACTGGCATTACGGATTTGACTACAAACAATGGGCATGGAAGAATGGCCCATTTTACATCAATGACACTCTAGGTGAGTTCGGAACTTTTTGTTCATCTTTAGCTTCCTTAAGCCTTTTGGGGGAAAGTAAAAAGCTTGCTTCTGTTCGAGGATGTTTAAGTTCACTAGCATGCTGCATGCTCTAATTATACATATGAAATGTTGTCTTCTATTGATATCTGTAAGTTGCTCAGTTACGCATGTTATATATATATTGACAATCTGATAACATAATATAACACGTGAAACTATCAAGCAACATAAAGTTTCCTTAGTTACATTTATCATAATTACATTAATTCTACTGTGCAACTTGCTTCACTATAAGCAACCCTTTTTCCATGATGAACATGCAGTTTTCAAGTATGATCCTCCAAATGACACCACACGTCCTCATAGCGTGTACTTGTTCCAAAACCCTTGGAGCTTCATGAAGTGTGATTTAAGCCAAGCCAAGATGGTGGGAAAACCGACAGAAGGAGGTGGAGAAGGCTTTGAGTTTGTGCTCAAGAGGTGGCAGCCTTACTACTTCGCTTGCGGCGAGCACGACGGCCTCCATTGTAAGGACGGACTGATGAGGTTCGTCGTCTTCCCAATGTTTCGCGGCTGGAATTACTGATCATCTGGCAATGGAGCCTTTCTAATTTTCATTATTATTATTACTTTTTGAACAAATAACAAGACTTGGTGTGCAAGTTTTGAGAGAGTATATAGTTGATAATTTCATAATTATTATTAATTATTGTTTAACTAGTGTAAGATATAATACATTATATGATACGTGTGCCGTTTTTTGTAACAGAACTTTATAAACAAGCAATTAGAAATTCATTGTCTTCCTACTTTTATTAACCTTATTGGCAAACATCCATGCCAATATTCACAACAAGGACTCCGCATCCATAATACTATTGGACTATCAACTTCGAAAGGATGATAATAGGTCCTAGTCAACGATTGGAATTCATAGATCATTTTTGTAAAAAAAATAATAAAACTACTAAGATATCTAATTATAATCAACAAAATAAACGAACAATGTGTTTCAAGCAAACATTAAAATTACAACCATTTAATTCAAATTTGAATTCAAATAATTTGTTGCAGAGATGATTTAAAGAAATTTTGAAAAAAATAAATGGTTCGAATCATTGAAAAACATGAGGGAATTGCGGACTTTTCAAGCAAGCCAGCTCGTATAATTTCTTCTTCTGCTCCTCATTTAAATTTCTAATCTTTGCTTCAAGATTTATAAACCATGTTGTGTCCTTGAGATATTTATCTCTTCCTTTAAGTCAACTATTTGATAATTTGTATAAAATATGGGCAACAGCGGTCATACATATATGTGTCTTGTCCCCAAAAATTGACTCGATTCAGAAACTTTTAGGGCTTTGTCATCATTATAGGCTATAGCTGAGTTAGTTATTTCCCTTAAAAATGATTTAAATTGTTTATGTTGAGTCTCCCCAAAGTCCTTTAATCTCTTTGGGTTATTTTTATAATAATATGAAGAGAGCTGTTGATGAGGAAATAGAAAGGTGAATGAGTGACTAGTGATGGAAAAATGAATGGCTATTTCAATCCTCACCAACTTATCTTGTTGCCCCGGTCAACAAACATGCATGAAAACCATTTGACAAAGTATGTGTCCGGATAATTCGAAGTCTAGATAGTTAGCTCTTAGTTTTCCTGTCGAGAGAACAACATGGACGAAGGAATTTATAGACAAAAATCATATCTCTCAAAACGTCTTATTTTTCATGGAAAGCAACCATAAAAAAAAAAGGGTATTATCTTGTTCGAATTGACTGTCATGGTAGAAAGATGAAACTGTAATATTAATTTCGCTTCTGAATTAATGGTACCCAAAACTTTGATAGCTATAACTGGCTATGTTGCATGCCCATATGAACTTCCACACAACTCATAAGAGACTCCTTTTCGTCCTTCATCCCACCCCCCCTAAAAAATAGCCTGATATCTATTTCAACAAATTTATAATTTCTTTAATAAAGCGATATTTAAAATTATTCTAATGTGCAGAGAAGAGATCGGACTCAAATGCAAAACAACGAAGACACCGCTCTAGACAACTGATGTAACTCATATCAACATGTCAACAAATTGATATAAAAAAGTGCTTTTGGCGCTGAGAAAATACTTCAGAACATGCCCTTCCTTTTGAAGAAAACCTCATTTTATTTGAAGCATCCGTTTGAACATGTATGCTATGCCAAGTTGGGTTGTTCAGTCCAAATTTGCAGACTCTTGAACATGATTAGCTAGTAAGACTCTTCCATGGCGGTTATTTATTTATTTCTCTATGTCATCGTCATGTCACACAATCGTATGCCATAGTTTTTTTCTCAAGCATGAAATACATATTTTCCCAACTTCTTAGGCCGCAACTTTTACTCGTTTTCCCCAATATCTAGTTTGGTTAAGATCACAATGCCTAATTTTCCATTTCACATTGACTTTAAATTTTTTTAAATATATTTAGATAAACTTTTATGCGAAAAAGAAACAGTAAAAAACAAGGATAGCCGCGTTTGGTTGACTCCCTCTAGGTTTGATGGAGAAAATTCCTTCAACTATCTCATTCATTTTTGGAATTAAAATAAAATAAAAAATATATATATATATATATATTTATTTATTTTTTTTGCTTCATTTTTCAGATGATTTCAATGAAATTATTGAGTACTTTTCTTTTAATACCGTTAATTTCACTTCATTAGAGCATCTCTAATGAATGTTACAAATGTACAAAGCAAAAGTGTACTTTCGGGTATGATATAATTTTCATGAAGAAGAGGTGCGGTGAAATTTGTTAACCTTCTCACCGCATATGCACTAGTTAGAGTTGCTCTTAGGGAAGTCAATTTGCGGTACTTCTTTTTGGGATTTTGCACATTGTTTCCTTTTTCCACCAGTTTTTTTTTGCAATATGTGTTACAACGTAACAATTTGTTAAAAGTGATGACTTATAATTCAAATGATACTTTCATCTCTATACATGCGAGGGATAGAATTTAATTCTTACATTCTGCTTCCCTTGTATGAAAATTGTTGTTTATTAGATGGGAATGAAATTGAGGTTAGAGAGGGAAAAAGAGACACACGTGGAGGACTGACTTAGGGAGACTTAAGCTTACAACTAACAACACGTTTTCTTTGTCTTACCCACCCATTTTGAAAAATTAGGCCGTTTTGCACCACTCAATCTGCCTACATATAAGAACCCATTGCCAACATCTTAATTCACAATATCATTCTCAAGTCTCATCCTCTCAACCCTCTAAAATTTCCATCTCTCTTCCTTCTCCTTGAGTTGCATTTGAAAGTGAATAATGGGTTCCCATTATTTTGCACAAGCCCTAGCAATGGTGCTAATTGCTTCAATGCTGGCAGTTGGCTTAGCCAATAAGGATTGGCAACATGGCAACTACACTGGTTGGGGTTTCAACCATGGCTCATATCACCTCAACGAGACCAAAGGACCCAACAAAATCACAGTTGGTGGGTCAGAAAAGTGGCATTACGGATTTGACTACAAACAATGGGCGTCGAAGAATGGTCCGTTTTACATCAATGACACTCTAGGTGAGTTTGCAACTTTTTGTTCATCTTTAGCTTCCTTAAGCCTTTTGGGAAAAGAAAAAAAAAGCTTGATTCTGTACAAGGATGTTTAAGTTCTCTAGCATGCTTCATGCTCTAATTATACATATGAAATGTTGTCTTCTATTGTCAAGCTGTAAGTTGCTCAGTTACACAGATTATCCATATTAATAATCTGATAACATAACAACTATATAGTAACAAAAAGTTCCTTTAGTTATATTTGTCGTAATTACATTAATTATTCTGCACAATTTGCTTCACTAACCCTTTTTCCATGATGAACATGCAGTTTTCAAGTATGATCCACCAAATGACACCACACGTCCTCACAGCGTGTACTTGTTCCAAAACCCTTGGAGCTTCATGAAGTGTAATTTAAGCCAAGCCAAGATGGTAGGAAAACCGACACAAGGAGGCGGAAAAGGCTTTGAGTTTGTGCTCAAGAGGTGGCAGCCATACTACTTCGCTTGCGGCGAGCACAATGGCCTCCATTGTAAGGACGGACTGATGAGGTTCGTCGTCTTCCCAATGTTTCGCGGCTGGCATTACTGATCTTCTGGCAATGGAGCATTTCTAATTTTCATAATTGTTAATTACTTTTTGAACAAATAACAAGACTTGGTGTGCAAGTTTTGAGAGAGTATAGTTGATAATTTCATAATTATTAACTCTTGTTAACTAGTGTAAGATATAATACATTATATGATACGTGTGCCGTTTTTTGTAACAGAACTTTATAAACAAGCAATTAGAAATTCATTGTCTTCCTACTTTTATTAACCTTATTGGCAAACATCCATGCCAATATTCACAACAAGGACTCCGCATCAGGGCCGTCCCTGAGATTTTGAGGGCCCTGTGCGAAACTTAAATTGGGACCTCACATAATCTAATACGAAAATTCTATAC